CTGCAATGCTCACGTATTACAATGTGAAACACACTGCAATGCTCACGTATTACAATGTGAAACACACTGCAATGCTCACGTATTACAATGTGAAAAGTATGAAATGGCCTAAGAAACTATGTTCCAAACACAGATGATTTGGATTTCATACTTTATCCTGGAAACTTCATCCCATCTCCCACCTTTAAACACTGGAAATGGACGGAGCAGGTAACAGGTTTACCCACAGCATACCTTTGACTTCGTGGAGGGAAGCATTATTATTGCTATTGCCAGTGGACGTTTGGCCACTATCAAGGCTGGCTGGTCGCGAAGCTAAATGGGAAAATCAGGAGACAGTGCAATGAATCCTCCAGCTGACGACACTGCCCTTTCCATTCCGATCACAGGCGCTCTGAGGAAGCAATCATGCATACTTCCACAGGCTGAGCATGCCCAGAGCGGAATCGTACACATCAGAAAGCAAAGGCATTTCGAGGCAGTTCAGTACGACATTTCAGGACAGGACAGTTCTGAAACAGTAGTTGAGATTCAAAGAAAAGAAGACCAAGCGCAGGTTTAGATTTGAAAATGACTGCTAGATGGATACCAGGACAGTTTTAGTCGAACAGAATGACATGCAAAACTAACAAACAGCTAGTGACTAGGTCACTTAGAACAGATCAGACACAGAAGCCTGCACACTGCAGAGATGCCCTGGACAGGGGGAGCATGAGCATCTGACAGTTCGTGTCCTGGGCTCCTACCCTTACACAAGGGCAACAAATGGACAGCTAACACTGCCCTGTGCTAATTCTTAACATCCCACCGATATGTGAAATCCCTTTAACATGTTATCCAATTATTGTTAATAATTGAGCTCAGTAAGGTATGATTTGCTAGATAGTTTAAATCTGAAACACTCAATATTGTAGAAAATCTGGTTTCTTAAAATTCATCTTTTAGCAACATATTTCTTTTTAAACCAATGATAAAATGTAACTCTCATAACTTTAAACCAAACCAAACCCACTGTCGTCAAGTCAATTCCAACTCATAGCGACCCTACAGGACAGAGTAGAACTGCCCCATAGGGTTTCCAAACCCACAGGGTTTCCGGCTGGTGGATTTGAACTGCCGACCTTTTGACTAGCAGCCGAGCTCTTAACTTTAGCTTTGTGCAAAAAATGGCAACAAAATTACCTTTGAGTACGTGCAGGCATACTTTATAAATGACTTGACTAAAATAGAGAACATATAGAAAAAGAAATACCCTTAAAGGGGCAAAAGAGAGTGTTAGGTTTGAAGAAATGGCAGAGGTGGCTATGAGATGCAGGTTAGGAAAAACATGCTCGCTGGCAATGCCACGTTCACCTGTACAATGCAAGGCTCTCAGCATTCCCGTTCTGTATTCAATACCTACTCTCTAAAGTTCATATCTTACCATGAACTCTTGATCCCGTACTAGAATCATCACTAATACCTTGTGGGCTTATATCTTCAAAGGATGTAGTATCTACATAAAATAGTAAAATGGATATGAAAATATTTTTGTAACTAAAAAATCCAATATAGAAGTTTTATTGACATAGAACAGGGCATTCTTTTTCAGTCATGGGCAATATATCCTGGTGCAACGTATTTCACAGACTCAACCAGAAACTGGAACTAGGAATAAGAAACAGACGAGCTCTGATGAGAGCCGACTGGCTTAGGGAAAACCCCAGGAGCAATGAAACAGTCTCCCCAGTGACCCTGTACGGCACAGCAAGAGCCTGGCTTACTGCATGAGGTTCTCTGAAGTTGTAGCGTTCTGGGTCTGTTAGTTTTTTAAGAACTTCTGTCACTCCCTTCTTTCTCACTCTTTACCTGGTTTACCTCTCCTTTTCTCGTTAGTTCATTAGGTGCTTATTATGAATGGAGGCCTAGGAAAGACTTTAGTTATCTGTATAATGTCTTACATTTTTAATATGATTTGAGAATTCTTCCAAATAAAATCCAGATTATGTTTTTGTAATTATTTCAGGTTGTTGCTTTTAAAAAAGTACACAGGGGCTAGTCAATCAAAATTCCTGTTGCCAACAGTTACACCACAGTGCAAACAGCAGACGGCCTATACCTTTATTTTTAACCAACTGCTTGGATCTGAAGCCTGTAGAAGAGTTGCCAGTTGAAAAGTTGATGGCTGTAGTAGAGAAGGCCATAGCTCCCAATTCTTTTCTCCTTTTACCCGTTGAAATATCATCAGGAACCTCCAAATTCTCAGTACTACCTGTCCACTGTCCTCCTGCTAGGACCATGGACTGCACCAGGTCATTCATGGCTGGGATGCAAATGAAAGCAAATGAATCAGCATGGTTAATGTGTTTGCTCTTATATCTTTTCTGCATTATAAATGATCTAGCTTTTGTCTATGGATTAATGTAAGTGAACATCAAAAACTATAACCACAAGGTCATTTGAATTATGACATGCATTCAACTGAATGAAATGAGGAGGCCACACAGGCTGATAAATTTCAGTAAATAATTTTATCCCACTCCCACCCCCTTAAAAAAAACAGGAAAGAATTTTACTATATAAAACTGCCATGCTTTTCAGCAGTCATGTGCACTATAATTAGAAGCCTCTGCAATGTGATTTTGTGGTGACAAAAATGGAATGAATGAAGGTAGGATGGTGAGCAGTTCTTATATAGCATCATTATTGAAAATGACAAAGAGTCCTTGGTCAGAGCAGGTTACTGAAGAAATTATTCATTTTAGGAATCAAATAAGTATACCATTCAATAATAACCTGAAAGAGATGATATTCAAAGTGATAGGCATTTAACGTGATTATGTTATTACCCATTTCACTAAAAAAAAAGAAAACCCAGAGTATTATTGCAGAAAGAATGACAAACATTTTTAAGGGTTATAGGCCATTTTATTTATTTATCTTATCTGGTCCATATAAGATAAATTCCTAAGGCTAATGGTTTTGTTATATCTTCTTTAAGTAAATTTCTTTGGGAAAAAATATCTATGGTATATAAAATTAAGGGTTTTTCCTGCCAACTTTCAGAAAGCACTGGGAATTTACAAGGATATTACATGTATGACTAAACATATGCATGTCTATGTACATGTATATGTATCAGTAAACATACATGTAACGCAAATTCAGTGCCAGTTTTGAAAAAACAATTCCTCCAGCTCCTTCTATTAGCGACAGACTGCACTTTACAAAGTAATGGAATTGGCACAGTCCAGAGAAAGGTTAGTGAAATATTAGTCATCGGAGAGAAGCTGAACTGTCATAAGGTCTTACACATGGAACGACGGTAGCAGGCCTTCATTTTGTCTTTGTCCTTCGGTCTGTTCCTCAAAAAGGGCAGTCTTTTCAGTGCAATCACTTTAATGTCAGAGCATGAGGAAAAACAGAAACAGGGGAATGAAAGAAAAAAGGAGAAGAACAGATGGGAGTTAAATGCTGAAATTAAGGACAGAAATGAAATGTCTGAGTTTTGGCTATGTATGCTATGCTAAAGCTATTACTCTCATGCTGCTGAATGATAATGAAGTATGAAATATGCACTTGGATACTTTAAAATACTGGGAAAGCACTGAAGACAATGATGAGGAACATATACTTTGAAAGCTTGGCATGGCTATAGTCATTTAATCACAGGAACTGAATAGAATTACTTACAGAGGGAACAATTTTCCTAGTTAACTTGTAAAGCTACACCTTTAAAATTAAGGCTATTGACAGGTCTTGATGAAAATGTGCAAGGCTTTTCAATCCTCTCATATTTTAATTTTTTAAACTATAAGGCTTTATGCCCAAGGATATTTACAACAATCTAAAGAAACTTTAAAAAAGTACATTAAAAAGTTTTTTTTCCTCCTTAAGCTTTAATTAAAAAAAAAAAAAGGAAATAACTTCTTCATTTAAGCAAAATTCTGGTGCAATCTTTAGCATACATTCTTTTTTTTCTAGCAGAGCCCTTCTAAAGATAAAATAAGCAATTATATTCGGTTTGTTTTGCGGAAGGTTGGCTGGGGGAAGGAGGAAGAAAAGAATATACTGACAGTGATAATGACTGTCAGCCATGAGCTCCACTAAGACCAAAGGGACAGGAGGCCCCACAAGTGAGCAAAATTAAGAGCAAGCTATGCATGCACCACGTTTTTAGGATTTTAAACAGCTTTACAGGTGAGCTTATTAAAAACAAAATCAGAGGGTGCACTGTACAAAATAATTCTGTGAATGAAATTAGGATTACTACTAAAATACAGGAGTCGCTGGAACAAAAATAAAAACGTGCTAGAGTCACTAACCATTCTTAAGCTATATTTTTCAGAAGATTTAGATACCAAAAATTGTTAACACCTTTTTGGAAATGCAATTTAGGACCTAGGAAAACGATTTGCATAAAGACTGAAAAACCTACACAGCCTTAGTAACTATGCTCTTTGCAAGACTTGCCATCATCTTATCAATAACCAAAGATCTTCTGACAAACCGACAAGTATAACGCGTTAAAGAGACTGCGATGGACAGGTAGCTTTTTATCTGTCTGACTGCTACTAGGCACAGTCATGATTCACTTAACCTTTTAACTTGACCTATTTTTTTTCCCCCTAGCTTGGTAAACACAGCTGTTTTTAATGATTAAAAGGAAATGAACTGAAAGCAATGTAAAAATGGACACTTAGCTAAAACAAAGCTGAGTGGTTACAGCATGCACGTGTTGTCTTGTTTAGATACTTTTTTTTGCTTTCAACTGTTGTCGAAAGATTGTTTTACTGACGCTCTTCCAAAGTGCACAGGATAAAAGGAGTTTCCTAGTGGCAGAATATGATCCCTCTTATGCGCAGTCAGTTTGTAGAAATATGTCCTTTTCCCAAACCACACTGCAACTAAGGGAACATTCGTACTGACCAGGCAGTGTTTCATTTTGTTGTATATCGGGTTGCTATGAGTCAGAACCGACCCAATGGCACTCAACAACACAATTGTTGGGTTTTGTGTTTATTTTTACATTTCTAAAATGGAACAACGCCAGAAGAGTATTGCTTCCTTCTAATTCTTATTCTGACAGCTTCAGCAGACAGTATAAGAGTGACAGATTTATACTTAAAGGAAGAAGGTGGCTTCAAAAGACTGTTGTGCATTTCTAGTGTGTGTTCTCATACCTGAATTAAACTATCTTCTTTTAATTAAAAAAAAAAAAAACTATGTCCATTATTATTTCTCATTTAATAACGTGTCATACATTTTCTATCTAAAGGTAGCAGATAAAATTAACTTGCCTGTCACTTTTTAAAAAAAACTTGATGATCTCTCTACTACAATAACTATTCAGAGGTTTCAAGAAGATTTAGTGGAAAAGGACTACACTGCAAAAGACCCAGGTAGCAATAATCTTAAGTGGATATATAGAATTAAAATGCTTTATTCAGACTAATTTATATATGTGTGTTATTTTTTTTGTTGCTTACCTATGGATTCTAGTTTCTAGGATGCTATAGCACTCCCAAGGAGCCCTGGTTACACAAATGTTAAGCGCTTGGCTGCTAACCAAAAGGTCAGTGGTTCGAATCCACCAGCCACTCTGCTGGAGAAAAGACCTGGCTATCTGCTCCCATAAATATTAGAGCCTAGGAAATCCCATGGGGCAGTTCCACTCTGTCCTATAGGGCCACTATGAGTCAGAACAGACTCAACAGCACACAACAACAACACAGTTGCATCCTGAAATATACTCTTTAATGTCTAATCTCCTACACAGTAAAATACTCTTGTCTTTTCAGAGTCAATTTCTCTGAGGTCAAAACATCGTGTACAATTTTTGTGTGCTTTGAGTGTGGTCCTAATGAACAGCCTATCCCTAGAGGAAGAAGCAGCTGTTTTTGCCTGCTTTTACTTCAAAAGAATGGTAGTGACATATATATATACAAATATATATGTATTTTTTAATTTTAGTGACTGACGGTAGTGTGAGAACGTTCAAAGAATCCTTGTTTACTTATTTTATAAGAACACTGATTGTAGTCAATTACTTGGACATCTTCAGAGGCCTAGCATTGAATTATTTTCTCTTTCTTTTAAAATACACTTCTTCAGGCTTTTACTTTGCTCTCTTGGTTTAGCTAAGCACACTAGCAATGAATTAAAAGGCTCTGATTGTACAGGGCATGTTATGATGTACTACTACCATATTTGTAATTATAAAATATTAAATCACAAGTTTAAACATAAATTTACACCTCCCCATCCTTTTATTTTAATCAATCTTTTACCATGTAATCCCTCAATAATTTTTAGTCTGCAGTTATTTCTGAATCACCGAATAACACATTTTCATACTCATACCTCTTTTTCTTTGCTTCCTCATCAGTGGAAACTCTGTTCCACTTTGACACCATCAAAGTACGTGCCTGATTATTCAGCTTCAGTTATGAATAATAGGAAAATAAAACCTTACACCTGAACGTCTCACTTGCTCCTCATAACCGGGTGGGTAAGGCAGGGAGCAAACACAACTAGCACGTGGCAGAGCTAGTCCGGCTCCTCTATTTCCGTGTTCTTTCTACTGCCGCATTTTACCTCCCTGGCCAAACGATGCTGTCTGCCTGGGTGGAATTTCTGTCCACATACACAACACAGAAAGTGACGTGGCTGTGCGTCACTGCAGTGAAAACTGTACAATCCTACCAAGCTTTTAAAAATGCCATCAGTCAGACTGTCCTCCCAAAGGATTGTTTAAGTTATTTAAAAGAAATCTTTAAAAAGGCTTCTAAATCACTGCTAGAGATCACAAGTGTGTAAGCACTCACTGCTGCTCTTCTTGGTCCCCAGGGCCTGGCCATCTTCTAGAGAGTTAGAACCTACTGAGGAGCTGTCTTGACTGTCTTGATGGGGGAGCTGAAGAAAGCCTTCACCCGAGTCTGAACGAGTCGGTGTTAACGTGAGGGATTTCTGACGTTCCCGATTAAGATCTTTCTTAGACTTTATCAATTTTCTCATTTTCAGTGTAATCCAGTTGCCTCTCCTAATAGGATAATTAAAAAATAAATAAATAAATCTCAGTTTAAAATTCAAGATACAAATCTTTTACAAAATTAAAAGTCTTAACATACAACTTTCATCTTATTTTCAAAATAAAAATTCATAAAATTTGGTTAGCAGTACCTTCTAGGAGGTGATGGGTCATAAAATTTGTACTGATCCATAATTTTCTCCTCTAATTTCTCCTTTTGTCGTCTTAATTCATTTAACTTATCACTATAAAAATAAAAATTACATTTTGGGACATGCAGCATATTTTATATCGCTATAAATGATAATAAATTATTTTGTGACTATGATCTAATTGCTTCCCAACACATAAACACAGATACTATGACCAACAACTAAAAGTTCATTAGGTAGTAACAATGGGATTTTTTTTTCCATTTTCCTTTTCTTTAAATTTACAACTTACTTAAATAAAGGGATACAGGATTTAAAGCTTCAATTCTTCAACAGGATTTGTTTGTTTGAAGAAAATTTTCCATACTATAATCTCATCATGACAAAGGAATCCTCTTTCAACATCTTTTTTACAATTATTAAACAAACAACATTATATCAATATTAACTACTTCACTACTCTTGAATCTTCAGTATTTCAAATGATTTTTGGAATGAAGGGTAATTTATTATAATTTATATAAGCAAACAAATAAAAATGTTGGATGTTTAGGTTGCTTACAATTACAGATATTATAAATAATCCTGTAATCACATCTTTATGCAAATACATTTTTTCCCTTTTTGGTAAAACTGTTTAGGCTTGATTTACTTGTCAGAGAATTATTTCCTGCCTCCAGCAACTCACGTGCATACTAGTTTCACCCCATGCTAGCTTCATTTTGGGGGACTTGGTAGACTACTAGCCAAAAGGTTGGTAGCTTGAACCCACCCAGAGGTGCCTTGGAAGACAGGCCTGGTGATCTGCTTCTGCAATGAAGTCAAAACTGACTCGATGGCAACAACAAGTGTGTATAACAGACAGAAACCCCAAAGATCACAGACCAGCGTAAAGTCATTCCCTCCAAGAAACTGCAGTGCGAAGAATACTGTCTACTCAACAAACATTTAACGATCATTTACAACAAGCAAGGCATGAAGTGTCTATAAAGGTTGAATAAGTAGCCTGGTTCTGTTTAGAATATAGGAGAGAACAGCTATTCTAATCCAAAGCAGGAGTAGTTCCAAAATAAAACTACTGGGTGAGTATGAGAGCTTATAAAAGGAAAAACATTTCCACCAGAGATGAACAAAGGAAGCCATATTAGATGGCTGTAAGGAAAGATAAGAATGCCATATGCAGCAGTTTAGTTTGACTGCGGGCTGAGAGGAAACAATGGGAGCGTCTCAAGTTTCTGTTTAGCTCCACAGGAAATCAGAAGTATTGACTGTCTCACCACAAGTGGCATAATGAGATCTTTGCTTTAGGTGCTTTAACCCAATGATGGAATAGGATATATCAGAAAGGCTGGAGGTGAAGAAACCATTTAGGAGGGTGATGGGGTAGTCTAGTTGAGAAAGAGGGCTGAATTAGGATGATGGGAATTGGAAAGAACTGATCTGAGAGTTACAGTGAAAGAAGGTGCTTTGTGAACAGATGTTGCCAACAGTCACACCACAGCGCAAACTGCACTGGCCTATACCTTTATTAGTAACCAGCTGCTGGAATCTGAAGGCTGCAGGAGAGCCGACAGTTGAAAAGCTGATGGCTGTGGGAGAGAAGGCCAGCTCCCAGCGGCTCTTCTCCTTTTATCTGCTGAAATAGCATCAGGAGCTCCAGATTCTCAGTACTACCTGTCCACTGTCTCCCTGCTAGGACCACGTGACGGAGGCACTGAACTAGAAAGGTCTGATGTGTTAGGTGGCCAGTCATAAGTTCAAGAAGCCAGAACGGATACTGATATTTGGAAATCATCCAGATAGATACAATCATTGAAACCCTGAAAATAGATCTGTCACCAAGGGTCAGAATATTACAGATGAAGCTTTCGATAATACCTCTGCTTAAGGGACAGGAAACTCAAATGCCAAGAGCTATTTTTAGGTGAATACACAGGAATACCGCCAAGCAAAGGCAGAGTTTACGTGAATTTTAAGACAAATGTAAAACTTCAAGAAATTTCACATTTGCGGCTGGCCACTTTAGATTACACCCTCAGCTCTTTCAGGGGCATGAATGCTTTTATTCTCTGCTGGGAGAAGTACTTTAGCTTCTTAGGCTAATGATACAACTATGTGTTAAAACAAAAATAATGTTCCTGCCCCTAATTTTGTAGTAAAAACGATGCTTCAGAAAAATGCATGTTGTATCCTGTGGTTCCACACGTGCCCTGGCTCACCATCACGTATACCAACTCTGAAAGGTACAGACATACACTTTCATTTATTCCTTAGGATAATCCTGGAAGTAGGTGTTATTATCTCTGTTTTAGAGAAGAAGAAACTGAAGATCAAAGAATGAAGTGACCTGCCAATGCCCACCTAACTAGTGAGTGGAAGAAGTGGGATTTGAACAACTGTGCGATTTTCATTACACTGTGGCTCTTCTTACTCAGGGGGGAAGAGGAAGAGAAGCCTTTAGTAAAGGCGAAGTATGGTGTAACATAAAGGCTACCTACCATCGAGTTCCCAGGCCCAAATTCCCGCATATACAGATTCCCACCCTCTCCACTCTACCTCTCACATTTCTCGTTTGAATCCAACTGCCCCTGCTTGTGAAATATTTCTCACTAGACTGTTGCAAAAGCCTTCTTAATACCCTTCTTGTCTCTACTCTCAGACTTTCCAATCCATACGCCAAAATGCTATCAGTAATTTTTTTTTTTAAATGCAAATCTGATCATGTTAGTCCTCGGCTCAAATTTTTCAGATACTCCTCTGCATGGCACAGAAAAGCTTTTGTGAATTGGCTTCTGACTGTTAGCCACTTCTCCATTGCTCCCCTCAACCCCTTAATTAATTAAGCAGTGGCTACACTAAATCAAGTTGAACTGCCTTGATATCCTGTAGAAGTAGGTGTCCAAGGACTCAGGGAAATGGGCAAGTTAGAGTGAATTTATCCGGTTAGACCCACAGACCCACACATGGAGTGCCCAGAGGACACACCTTTCACTACAATGGTGAGGAACAAATTTGTGAAGGGAGCCCTCACATCCTTGAAGACTGCTGTGATTGCTATTTTATGTAAGGCAAGACTTGACAGTGGGAACTGCCCTAAATGAATTAAGACTTTTAATTTAACTACATTTAACTACAATGGGGCAGACTGGACCCCAGGGTGGTTGGGGCTAAGTGGCGGCACTTAATTGTCAAAGACGATTATCACATTTAATCATCACACCTCCACGTTTCTGCACCTGCCACTCTCACCTGCTGGTATTCCCCAGGCAAATATCTACTGAACCTTTAAGTCTCAGCTGAAGCAAACACCTTTGGGAACTCCTTGTTTCTCCCAGACCAAGGGAATCCTCCCCCTATATTCGCTATATGTCTATGGCCCCCAGGCACACCTCCAAAAGCAATTATTGTACTTTACATGTCTATTCTTTTTTACCAATTCCTTAAGAGCCGGGCCCATGTGTTTTCACCTTAGCATTTCCGGTTATTAGCACAGAACTCGGAACATAAGCACCCAAAGAAATACATGTTGAAATAATGAATGATGTTCAAGATCAGTAAAAATGAGCATCAAGTTTTCTCTGCCACTGGGTACGGCAGTGATAAGATCATGAATAATATTTTAACGGGCAAACGGATCTAACACCCACATGTACTGTCTTTGTTCAACGTGAAAAAGATCCTTGCTTTCCATATTCTGCTCCAATAGTGTTCTGTTCTGTAGCATCAATGTCTGAATTTGATCTAGCAGATGTCGATTTTCTTCTTCCAAGTTTCCTTTAAGCTGGCTTAGCAACTGTTAAATACAAACGTTTTTGAAAAATCAATATTCATACTTAACATAAATCAACTCAAACATCTGAAAAATATATAAAATACTTCAGAGACATGTCTGCTGCTACTTGAACAATCAGATGGTTGCCCTTTGATCAGTTATGAGTGATAGCTATTATTAGTAATAATGACAGCTAAAGTACCACACTACATACAGTACACGTATTTTTCTCGCTTAATTCTCTCAAACACTGGGTCTAATATAGGACACATTTTCAAGTTCCAAAAACACTGCTTTCTGTCTTTCAAACTGTTTAACTTAGAGATTCCAGTAGAAGTCAGAAAGCCCAAAGCAGTATTTAGTATCATGGGTAGAGCATATTTAATATCACCTGTAGAGTATATTAAACAAATGTAGATTTCTGGACCCCGGCATCCAGATTCAGAGTGGAGCCCAGAGATCTGTATTAAAAAACAAAAGCAAACAAATAAACCCCCTCCCAAAAAAAAAAAGATAAACGAAAGAAAATGAGCATTATGAAAGTTCTCAGAAGGTACAGAAAAGCAGGAAGAATGACACCATGAATGCCCATGAACACCAACTGTCAATACTGCACCTTGTTTATTTTACTTCTCTCTATATTTTTAAACCAAAATGCAACCTTCGTGGTAGGCTGTAAACATGCTGCACTTATCTGCCCCCTCTTATTACTACATCCTCTTGCAATGGGACTTCACACTCTTCCCATCAACAAGCAGAATCTATTTCCTCTCTCCTTGAATTTGGAATGGCTTTGGTCAAGAGAAGCTGGCGGAAGTGGCAGTGTGACAGTTCCCAGCCTAGGCCTCAAGAGGCCTTGTTGGAATTCCACTCAGTCTCTTGGAACCCTGATGGAGGATGAGAGACCACGTGCAGCACAGGAGAGCTAGCCCAGCTGGGGCCACCTTCCACCCGCCAGCCGGCCAGCCTCCTGCATACCTGTCAGCTAACTCCACTTGCAGGAGTAAGCTCTACCAAGATCAGTTGATCCTGGCCTTTTTTATCAGCACATCTGTTCAATCAACCCATGACTCGGGAGCAAACATAAACGTTTACTGTCTGTTACCACTGAGGCTCTGTGGTTGTTGTACAGCATCCCGTGTCAAAAGACAGCTGATGAGACACGTACACAGAGAACAGAGCAAACTTTAAGTATACAGCTCAGAATGAAGACCTGTGTGAACAGTAATTATATTCCAGAAGCACTGCTAGTGCTCTCTTTCAATTACCAACCACTAATGCTGACATCTTACACCGCAGATGCATTTTTCTGCCTCCCCCAAATCATGTTTTTATATGACTTGGCCCCCCGCCAAGGGTGAACATTTGACCCAAGCTGGGACAACCAGTCTTTCCCTTGGACCTTCTAAATTGAAAATGAGAGGATCATTCTTTTTTGGTGGCTGAAGCTTATGAGATATAAAATTTAGAAGCCACATGAAAAAGTCAGCCTGCTGGCCGAAAATGAAGCCTCCGAAAAAGGTTTCTTTACATGTAGTCTTTGTTTCCAGCTATTTTTGAGGGCCGGTTATGCTCATGGCTTTCCCACAGTTTAACTGTTTAATCCCTTTGATTCCATGAACTGATAAACGTGTCCCTCTGCCGAAGCAAGTTCAAGTTGGGTTTCTGACACTTGCAACTAAAACATCTTAACACAAAAACAAGATAAAACAAAAAAAGCAATTCTCCTTGCTAAGAAGAATATAAATTCCCTAGCTATCCAGATTATTATTGTTGTTTGAAAGGGAGATGGTGAATGGACTTTAAATTTATTGAATTAATAGAACTCGAAATGAAAGAAAAATTATAATCTGACCAATCACTTCAAAAGTAAAGATGTTTTAATCTGACAATGTTTTTTTCAAGTTCTAGCCTACATGCATACACTTTTTCTACACTAATAAATTGATAGTCTTTCTGAATCTTATTAAGTCAATACTTCTAGTGTCTCACATAATCATTAGGGAACGAGCAATAGTTCTGCCAAAGCCCTATACGTGCAGGTGCTGAACTGCTGAGATGCCCCAAAGAACTATGCCTCAGGAGATCAGTGTACTAATTCAAAAGGACATAGATCACCAAAAAATTTGTGATAAAAGTTAATATCGTCTTAATGCGTTCATTCATGTTTTACAGGTAGAAATGATCTTAAAAGCTCTATACTGCATTAACATTCCTTTTAACATAGTTAAAAATTGTGAAAATTGGGTCAGGAGTTCCCATCAATGGAGAAAGAATTTACTTAACGTTTAGGAAGTTTAAGAGAACAGACCAAACCTGTATTTTTCTGCATTAACCTAGCATAACGAACGTGATGTTTGGTATAGCACCATAAATTCAATAACTGCAGTCTTCCTTACAAATTAGCTGACAGAAATTATAAGAAATGTTCTAAGGAAGATTTTACAGAATTGATATTCCACAAATTAAGGCTTTTATTAATTAAGTGTATTGCAACAAATCTAAGTCGATATGGATTATCAGACACATTTTTTTTCATACCACTAAGAAAATACATTTTTAAACTATAAGATGTTTCCCTATTTCAGAGTTGTTAAAATGTGAAAAGATGAAATATGGTAATTAACTACCTTAATGATTTCAAATTTTGAAATACAAAGCCCTTGACTACTTCAACTAAAATCTCTCTCTGTCAAGGGCATAATCACAAAAAGATACAATTTAGTACAATGAACATTTAAATATGTTCATCAAGTCATATTACTAATGTATAAATTACTGACTTAAATTCATAATTTTAAAACCTGTTGAGGATGGAAGAGTATGTTTTGGTTAACATAAAAAAAAATCAATTTTGCTCACGGTTGTGAAAAATGTAAAAAACAAAGGAAAAACTGACCTTTGTGGAAATTTTCTTAGAGTCCACAAGATGGGGATATTTACCCATGAGAACATAAAACAGAAGCATAAAACTCAACGCTTTATCTCCAGTGGAGATAACTGGATTTTGGCAGGACATTTGCCGCGTCTCAAAGTGTTTCCTGGAAGATTGCTATTAGTTGCAGCAACAGGAAAAACACTAACTGTCCAGTGGAGAAACCAGACAACACTTTGACTGACAGATCAAAATAACCATCCGAGGTCAGACAAGTCTGATGTGCCTCGGGATATGATCACAGAGAAGGATATAACATGACTCACCCAGCATTCTGGTCAGGAATGCATGACCTGAATCTAAATACGAGGAAAAGATCAGAAAAATCCAAACTGAGGGACATGCTATAGAATTACTGGCATGGTATAAAACAAGTCAACTAAATGCAAAAATGGATCCTGGGCTGGAGGGGGCGGAGGAGGGGGAATGCCATAAAAGTCATTATTGCAGTAATTAAAAAAAATTAGAATATGAATTGTAGATCAGATCAAAGTATTGCACACACGCTAACTTTCCTAAAACCTGATGAAGGGTGTTGTGGTTGCTAAGAAAAGGCACTTGTTCTCCTGAAATGCACACTGAAGTCATCAGGTGTAAGTAAACGGGCAAAATCTATGCCACCAACTCTCAGCTGTACCGGAAAAAAGGATTATATATATAACAAGTGAGAGAGATTGGTGAATCTAGGTAAGATTGATACAGAAGCAGCCTTCCAGACCTCCAATGACATACAGGATCCTACCAAAACCCACTATGGCTGGGTCCCGTTCCTAGGATGCCCTATGAAATTTCTGACTAGTCTGGTTGTCTTCTACTTGCCCCCGCCACCCAGTATTATAACTTCAAGCTATTTGAGAGCTGGCCTTTGACAACTCTCCTGAGCATGGGGCTTTTCTGGGCTCTGCTACAAATCAAGTCAGCCTCCTCCAGTAGCAAAGCTGCTGGTTTTCACAGTTTGCCCCTCACGGTGGAAGAACTATCAGGTGTCAGAAATGGGGAGAGTCTCAGCTTATTCCTCCTCCCTTGGATGGGGCTATGTGACTGCCACAATGAAGAGAATGCAGGAGAGACAACGGTGTGACTTCTGAGGCTGTCACCTGGCTCTCCCGAGTCTCTTTCCCCTGGCCCAGGCACCATATTGAGAGAAAGCGCCAGGCAGCCTGCAGGGAGAGACCAGTTTCCCCAGATGTCTCCACCTTACAGCCAGCATCAACCACCAAACGAGTGCGAGCGAGGGCCTTCAGGTGATTTCAGCACTCAGCTTTGAATCCTCCAGCTGAGGCCCCGGCTGGAAGTGCAGCAGAGACAAACAGCCCCACCGTCACTGTCAAGCTCCCGACCAACAGAATTTGTGAGCATCTCAAACATTGTCTTACACCACTAAGTTCTGGGGTAACTTGTTACACAGCCATAGTAACTGAAACACTCTGTTTCACTTACTATGTTTATTGCCTGTTTCCTTCCACCAGAATATAAGCTCCACAAGGGTTGGGGTTTCTCTCTTTGATTCCCTGGCATACACCAGGAGATCCATGAACACTTGTTCATTAACTGAGTACATAAACTTAGAATTTACAAAGCATCTTGACACATAAGTTTAAGCTAAGAGTAAAAAAAAGAAAGATTGAAATGAATGATAAAGGATGGTTTACCTGAATTATCTGTAAGTTTCACTCATCGCTGACCAACTCTTTTAGAGCTACTCCTCTAAACAGAGGCTGCCACTGTCATTCTAACATGATTGTTTACTTCTAGGCATGTCTCGATGCTCAAAGGAAGAAACAGTGACTCAACTTGTTACAGCTCACCTCACATTGGTTGTTCAGCTTGGTAGATGTGATGTCCAACTGCTGGTATTGTTCCTTTAGCTTTGAAAATTCAGCTTCTAATCTTGTTTGTTCTAGTTTGGAATTATTTAGAAGACTCTTCAAATTTTTATGATCAGTTTGTAAAACTTCAGTCTCTTTCAAAAGCTGACTATATGTATGATTCAACCTATAATTAGAAATCACGTCAGAATAAAATCAGAGTCTCTTAATAGCTTTCATTGTAATTTAACTAACCCCATTGCTGTCCAGTCAATTCCGACTCATAGTGACCCTATAGCACAGAGCAGAACTGCTCCCACACAGCTTCCAAGAAGCAGCTGGTGGATTCGAACTGCTGAACTTTTGGTTAGCAGCAGCAGCTCTTAACCACTGTACCACCAGGGCTCCCACTGTATTTTACACAATATGAAAAGCTGTAAATAACATAACAGACATGCTCAGAAAATATAAGACTCTTTTGCTAGTTACCAAACTGATTAAGGATAAGTTTCTATTCTGTAAAACATGGATAAAAAAAAAAAAATTCTGAGTACCTTTCCCTTGAAAAGAAATCTTTTGGCCTCTAAATATGCTGAAGATGTAAAGACACTCATAATTTTTTCATATAAAAATTTAATAGAAAAAAAGACCAATCCAGTTTCATTTCACAGAGAATTCAAAGATTCTAAAATTCAATGCAAAACACAGATCAAGATGATTACTCCACCCAGCATGAAATACTGTATACATCTCTTGACAAATAACAGGTATACAGGCTTCAATCAAATTTTATAGTTGTTGAAATTTCTGCAGTTGTGGCAAATTATTCACATTTATTCAGTCGCCAAATATTAATGATAAATTTTGACTCTTTCGTAAACATCAGGTCATACTTCTCCCTCCCTGACAATTATACTCTCAGAATACACTTCACTCATCTCCAAGAGCAGGGACTGACAACTTTTTCTGTAAAGGGCCAGACAGTAAATATTTTAGGCATTGGGGGCCACATGCAGTCTGTGTAGCATGTTCTTTACTTTTTCCCTCATAACCCTTTAAAAATGTAAAACCTGTTCCTAACTTGGGGACCGCACAGAAACAGGCTGCGAGCAGGCTGGGCCTGGTCTGCCAGCTTCTATCTCAGAGCACTGAGATCAGGAACCCACAAAGAGGGAGGGAGGCAAGGAAAACTTCTGTCCTGACCATCACTCATTCTTCAAAGAATTGAACACAGCTCACAAGAATTATAAATAATAAAATAATAACAGTAAATGCTCCATAAATAGGTCAACTCAACGAGTGAATGCATGAATGCTGAATACGCAGCTGGCCAAATTCCACTGATTCACATATACATCTACACAGTCTATCAATATCTCCAAGATCAAAGATTTCTCTACTGATACCTCACTGGGGGAGCGGGAGCAGAAAGCAGTATGATGTACAACGTCCTCAGTAACCTCTCCACGGCAAATTCTACAGGGAGCGTCTTTGGAGAATATTTTTACACTGTGCCTCAATCAAAGCTGAGGACATTAACACCAAAATGCAATTCACTGACTATAATTCTAAAGAGGCCTAGACAACCTAGTCCAAGCAAGAAACTTTCTTGTTTTGGCATTAACTAAGGTTAAAAATTAAGAGTTGAGAAGTTTTGCTTTCCCAAGGCTTTCAATTCAACAACTGCCCTATGGGAGACCATTATCACATAGACAGTTAAAATAAGTACAAATCAAGTAGCTAGGAAATTACAAGGCTGCTCATTTGTAGGAACCAGACTAGTGGAAAGAGAAAGACACAAAAAATCAGCTCTCATTACATTCTGTCTCAATAAAGCATGTAAGTGCTATCAAGGCACAGAAATTTTATTATAAAATACAACTTAAAAACTTAATTAGTTGAATAAAACAAAGTACTAAGAGAAAAAAGAGAACAAGGTTCTTGTCTGAGCATTCCACAACGAGCTGTGTGATTTAGTTGGGAAAGTTACTTGTCACTTGTGTCCTTTTTCTTTTTTAACTGTAAGAGAAACTATTTCAAACAGCCTATTCTAGTTTTCAAAATTCTAAGTTCAAATTATGATTGGCACTATAAAGAGGCCGTATGCACACTTTGGATGAGATGGATAATACAGAACTAAAAGGTAAGAATGTTTATGTATTACCTATCATTTTCGCCACAAAGTTTCTTGTATTCTTCAGCTACAGTCTCATGGTTTTTGTTTTCAAGCAGCATTTTTTCCTGTTCTACTTTGAGCATTTTTTCCAAATCTTCCAATTGTCCTTTCTGTTTTAATAACTGATTGTAACTGGGGAAAAAAAGACATTGTGTTTATAATATTTCCTTACGGAAAAAATATTTTAGAAATGAAAGAAACAGGAATAATTTATAAATATCACATAAAATATATGTAAATTTATATAAATTTTCTACATCGATTCTTTCTTAGATCTTTATAACACATCACATTTATTGCACTGCTTGAAGAAAACTGGTTTTAAATTTACAACATAAGAAAACATGATAAATTACCGGTCTTCGAGATCTTTGTGTTCCACCTCAAGATTTTTGTGGGCAAACTTCAGAGTTCCATGTTTTGCAATGAGAGATTCAAACTCTGAGGCCTGGCGTTCATGCAGAAGCTCCAGCTTTTCATGATCTTTGACCAGAGAATCGTAGAGAGATTTCAGGTCTTCTCTTTCTTTGATCATAGACTCATTTTCATTTTCTAAGGAAGACTGCTGAATTAGGAGTTGTGCATTCTGGTTCATAAGTGAGGTACTTTGAGAATTAAGGGTAGAATTTTCAACCTACAAGAATGCATACTGTCATCAGATGTATTGTTCTTTTTTAAAAATGAAAGATTACAGTGCTAACCTTAGAAGTTCTAAGTAAGTGATAGCAGATACATTCATACTGTACTAGGAAAATTTGGATTTTTAGCTTCCCAAAGACTAAGGCTATCAATTTTTGATTTGTGTTTCGAAAAATGTGTGTGTGTGTGTTTAGGTTTGAGTTTCTTTTAAATGAAGATGAACAGCAAAAATCTGTATTCCACATATCCTAAAGTACAGAATTGGAAATGCTAGTTTATCATTTTCTAGAATGTGGAAGTTGACAGAATTGAAAAACTACTTGTGAAAATTCAATTGGAACTTTTCTCAAGAGTCTAAACTAAACTAGTACTTGCTTTACTATTTGGAAAAGGATTACAGAAAGAACAAGTGTTAGATCTGAAAAGGGAACTCCTTTTGCTCTTTAAGAGGTTTCAGAGAGCTGCACTTTCCTCCACCTGATCGTTTTATCTGAAAAGACACCAGCAGTGCTGACTAAAAGACGTATCCTTTGAACTAAAGACAAGTTTAAAGACAACATTCCCATGCTGTGTTACCTTCAAATAACTAACCTGATAAGAAAGCTGTAAAAATACGTAAGGAATGGTATGCTACAACCACACTCAAGAGTTTCTACCTGATTAGTTATAATCAACTTATTGAAATGGGGGAAAGATCACAAAGTAAATATAAATAAAATTATTTTATTTCTATTTGTTGAGTGAATTTATAGTATTTAGAGGCTCTGACATTGAAACAATGCTAATATTTGAAAATGTGGCAAGGTACCAAGTAAAAATATTTTATCTTCGATTAATTAGTAATTTGCTCACTGAGAAGCCGCGCTCCCACGTCTAGCCTCCCTACTGTAACAGCGCACCCCCGCGACATCCCACCCCGACCTGAAGCTTGGCGTTCTGCGTCTGGAGGGTGGTGTTCTGCTCCTGCAGTGACACAGTCTGTCTCTGAAGTGCCAGAATCTGAGCCTGCAAGTTGCTGTTCTGGGTCTCAAGCTGCTTCAGTTGCGTTTTCAATGCTTGCTTCTCCGCCTGCAGTGTAGCATTCTTAATAAACAAAGCACACACATTCAAAATAAAAGCAACACCAAACGTATTTCTATTACAGGTACTGGAATTTTATACAATGGGCATGTATTACCATTATAATCCAAGAAACCTCAACAACCGTAAAGGAGAAAAAACAAAACATTCCCCTTTATCCCAAATTATAAACATATGTTTAACCTATGAAAAAGAAAACAATAACATTAAAACCTTAATATACTATTGTACCTGTGTCCTATGGTCTCATAACATCTGAAAAAATAGCTCATTCTACATATATTTATGAACACAAGAAACTGGAATGGGGTTTCTAACCTGCACGGGAGTGCCCAGAGTGCCCAGAATGAGTGGGGGCTGTGTCCTGCAGAGGAGGGGGATGCCTTTTTCTAATTTTTCCAAAGGCAAATATAAATAAATATGGTGGCCCCAGGGGTCAGCAACAAAACTAAGTTTTTTACAAACACAAAAATTTGGAAGAGAAGCAAATTCATATGAATTTTAAAGAGTAATACAGTATTATCAACTGAAATGAAATACACATATGCATAAACACATACCGATATGTATATATACTCTTCAGCCCAGAAATTCCATTGTCAGGAATTTACCACATTATAAACATGTTCATACATGAATTTTCATTGCAGTGAAACTAGAAAATAACCTCAATGTCCATCAATGTGGGACTTTAAAATAAATCATTACTAATAAATTTTTTAAAAAACAATATCCACACTGTGGAGTAATATGCAGTCATTAAAAAAATATCGGTATCAGCTAAAATGGAGAGAATTCCAAGATAATATAATTGAAAAATGCAAATAAGAATACTGCATGTATGATTCCACAGGTATAAATCTGCAGAAGAAATTTTTCTGAGAAGAGACACAAGAAATTGCTAACGGGTTATTTTAGGTGAGGAAATAAGAATCAATGGCGTGGGAGATTAATCTTTGGTTTTATAGCTTAAAGTTTTTAATGAAGTATCTGTAGTACTGTTAAGTTAAATTAAAATCATTGAAGTTTTAATGAAGTATCTGTATTAATTTTTATGACAGAAAGCAATAACCACCACCACAATTATTTTACTCGTTAGCATGTAAGTTCCTTAAGCTCATTCTGAAGGATGTTTTTGAATTCATTTGCTCATTGTTTAATGTCAAATATCTACTGAACTCATTCAGCGAACATTTACTAAGTGCCCACTATCTCTCAGGTACTATTCTAGATACCAGAGGCACGGTGGTGAGAAAGAAAGACAAGCTACCTGCTTTCACGGAGCTTTCCTTCAGTAGGCAAACGATAAATGAATAAAAAATATAATTTAACTACTGAGAAGCGCTACGAAGAAAGTAAACGCAGCAGTGTGACAGTGAATGGTTTAGGATGGGGACAGCTACTTCAGTGGGGAAAGGGATCAGGGAAGAACTCTTGCAGGAGATACTTGATACAAGACTTGAATGCGGAAGGAAGCGAACCGTGTGCCCCAGGCAGGGGAAGCAAACAGAGAGATCCTGAGGTAGGAACAAACAGAAGAAGAGACCAGTATTTAACTAGAATTAACTTACTTATGTGCCAGGCACTGTTTTAGGTGTTTCCCAGATATTAGCAGATACTTGTATCATCCCCAGATAACAAGAGCGGATGGCTGCAGGGGCGGTAGGGTAAAGGGGACAGAGGCAGGGGCAGTGTCAGGAAGATCTTACAGGACACAGTAAACAATGTGGAGTTCATTCTAATTGACATGGAAAGTCACTGAAGACTTTCAGTAGGGGAATGACACGATCTGGAGTATATTTAAAAAAAGATGACGTAATCTGGCTACTGCACTGAGAATGGGTTAGAGTGGGCCAAGAGTGGAAGGAGGGAGGCCAGTTAGGAGGACATGAAGAGTCCAGATGAGAGAAGCTGATGGTAGTCAGACTAGAGCGGTAGCAAGACAGCTGGAGAGAAGGAGGTAGGTTTCTATCTTCAAGATCCTTGACAGAGCTTGCTGATGGACTTATATGAGGAACAGAGAAAAGTATACGAAGTTATTAGTTCTTCAGCCTTTTTTATATTACATATTTATATCATAAATCAGTCAACGAAGCATAAAATGAACAAAGCTGAAAAACCAGATTAGATGAATTAAGTTATGTATAATATCCACAATCCTTTACATCTAAACCACCTTATTTCTACTAAACGTTCCACAACACTTACATTCCTTTCTACTTCAATCAGCCTGTCTTTGACTTTCAGAAGCTCTCTGGTGGCTTCCTGACTTTCCCGCTCCCATCTGGTATCCTCACCAGACGCTGGAGGGGAGCTCTGTACCATCCTTTCTTCATCTTGTCTCTGTTTGAGAGCTTCATAATTTTTTTTCACCTAAAATATTTAAAATATTTTACTGAGGAGAAAAAGACCACCAAAATTATATTTCTCACAATTAATTTAACTTTGCACTGGTCCAGTGAATGTGAGCGACACTTTACTTAAAAATGTGATAAATACTATGTATAATTATCATTATTATTATGATCACAATTTATGCTTTTTAATATGTAAATTCTTTCCTCTTAGAAATATTAAATATACTCTGGGTTTCTACAATATATTTGATAATTTCAGATCCTATTGTTTGTGGTAAAAATAGCCTTAAAGAATAAATTAACTGGACACAGACATGTTGCTAAATACTAATACTGCTTTTAGATCTATAGCCAATTTAGGAATTTCACAGAGATCCATATGTAAAGAATAAAAATTTGACATATGTAATAATTTCTGTTAAACAGATACCTAAATGAAATTTCAGTAAGTGTCTATATATGTGTGCCTCTTTAAGAAGGTTATCTGGCTTGGAATAAGCTATGTTAATAAATTAATGACTTCTTTATTCATATCTTGAACCACATGTAATTACTGTAATTTATCTTATAAGGAGTGAGCAATCCAAGTATCTACCTTATCCAGGGTTTTCTGACGTGATTACAGTCAAATTCTTCTTCAAGAAAGCCAACTCAGAACGAGCAACTTGTCAACTTGTTCATCTTGCTGTTGTCAGGTGCCATCAGGTCAACTCTGACTCACAGTGACCCTATGTACAACAGAACAAAACACTGTCTGGTCCCGTGCCATCCTCACAGTCATGGCTATGTTTCAGTCCATTGTTGCAGCCACTGTGTCAATCCATCTTGTTGAGTGTCTTCTTCTTTTTCGCTGACCCCTCCACTTTACCAAGCATGATGTCCTTCTCCAGGGACTGGTCCCCCCTGATAACATGTCCAAAGTACGTGAGACAAAGTCTTGTCATCCTCGGTTCTAACGAGTACTCTGGCTGCACTTCCAAGACAGATTTGTTTGTTCTTCTGGCAGTCCATGGTATATTCAATATTCTTTGCCAAC